GATATATATATATATATATATATATATATATATATATATATATATATATATTTAGAAGTTTGAAAGAAAGGGAAAAAATTTAACTAAAAAGAACGAACCTATTGTAAGTTATTTTCTTGGCGAATTCCTGTCTCTCGTCTCTCCCTCCCTCCCTCGCTCTCTCTATCTCTATCTCTATCTCTCTAAATTTTATAAAGTTTTCACACACACAGAGGAGCGGGATGCGGGATTCTCTTTATATTCTCTTACACTGCTGTTTCAGATAAGAGAGAGAGAGAGAGAAAGAGATGGAGTGGAATGATATTATTGCAATTATATGTTGAAAAATATAATGAATCACAATCTTATAAATAATTTTAATAATAATAAATTGTAATAACAACTGCACTCTTAATAATTCTTATACATTTGTTTGTATATATATATTATATTGAGATATGTGTATAAAATTTTTATACATATTATCATGCATACACACACACAATATCTTTTATTTTCTTACTTTAAGACAGTAACAGATATTCCAATATTAAGTAAATTAAAAAATACTTGACAGAGCTATAAGATAATTAAATATTTGTCATTATAAATAAGGAGGATAAAAAGTGATAATATACAAAATAATGACACAAGAGATATATAATAACACAGTGTGTGCATTTGCCCATTGAGAAAATACATCTGAAAAAATAATATTCATTTATTGCGGAATTAAATTATTATAAATTATAATTGCGCATCAATATGTATTATTAGATGTCCCAAGATATATATCTTAAATTTCTCGAGAAAAGATGAGAATATGTATAAAAAAACATGTCAACAGTCGGTTTTTTTGGTTTTTTTATTTTATGTATTCACAAACGTTACAATTGTTGACTACGTGTACGAGACTCGCAATCCACACGACATATCTCATTACCACGTTATACATTATCACTCATCTGGGTCAGCTATGGCCCTTCTAGGTATTGATTACGAATTATGCTCTCTCTCCGTCCCTCTCCAATTTTCTAAGCCGCGATATTCGTTCGTAATTTATTACATGTGTGTATGTGTAAACATGTATATCTATATATAAGTATATTATTGCGTATATTTACATGTAGGTCGACGCATCTACTATTCTACTGAGCCATGTAGATTGGTCGAACGTTTTTTTATTTTTTATTTTTATTTTATTTTTTTTTTTTTAGACGGCGATCTGTGCAAAAAACGTTCTACCGGTCCACGCAGGTCAATACCAAAATTTGAAAAAATATGCAATATCATCTTCAATGAAAGGCTTGGACTTGGTTTATTTATCTTTATTATCGGTCTCGCTCTTTGCTTTTCGACCGGCCCCGATTTACCTAGCAGCTGCTACGAACGAGTCCTTTATTTCTAGCAATTTCTAAATGTATCCTACTTAAAATTCGCAGCGCTTTTCTTTTTCATCGTTTGTGCATGCGTCTGCAAGTGCATATGAGAGTGCGAGTTTTTTTATAACAATCCGGAAGATTCTTCTCGAAAAGGCACTATTGTATACGCAAACAAAATCCACGTTTTCAAACTAGTCTATTCGGTGTCTGTCCCGAGCTTTTGAGTATGTGTATGCATCAATATCTGCGAAGCGATCTCTAGGCGCGGCCGGATGAGATCTCTAAAATTATTAGATGAAAGAGTTCGCCAATTCATTAATCGGTTGATTCAAACAGTCATCGAACTGTTGCGTCATTCAGTCGCCAATTTTCTCGTTTTGTTTTTTAGGAGATACCGGGGCTACCATTTGCGGTCTCGAAGCGACGACTAGACTTTACATTGAAATAATTTTACAAATATGATATAATCTTGTGATTTATATATAACAATTTGTAAGATTAATGACTGTATGGAATGAGAAAAGTTAGTAAAATCGATTGTATGAGTTAAATATTTCACTGGGCGAAATAATTGCGGTATATGAATATAAGTAGATAATGAAAAATAATATGTCGATAATAATATATTATATATATCATAATATATATTATATATATATTATATATATATAAAATTTATATAATACATATTATAATTATATACATATATATTGAACAAAAAGTAAATGCCGTTTTTTCGTTCTTCATCTATTAGCAAAAAACGGAACAAACTTTCTATTCAATCTAATATATTACATCATATATTATTATATATATGTGTTTTCACACATATTACATATATAAACATAATCATACCTCTCGTAATATTTCTCTAGTAGTGTATAATCTTTATATGAAATATTTTTTATACATTTTTTTCTCTTAAATGTTAAAGCCAGAAACCAATAACCTTACCCTTTTTATAGCATAAGCCTTAAAAGTAAAATTAAGATTTATTAGCAATATATAAGTAACAATGTAAGAATTTATATATTTGTATATATATGTATGTGTATATATATATCTCGTGGCGCGGCTCTAAGTTAATATCAACTTCGGATAAAAATTATGTACATTATTATGTTACACCTTGATTCCTTTTTTTCTGCAAAGAAAATGATGTTGAATGATAGTATAATGTACGTGTGAGACACAAAACAACAGTACATTTCTAATAAGAAAAATCGGAGTCGAGCACTTCATTGTTAATCTTTTCAACATTAACGCGTTTCTCTTTTCAGAATATACATGTATACATATATGTCTCTTCTCATATTCAATGATTTTCAAAGCACGCCACGAGGAACAACCCTTTATATAAGCCGATTATATATAGTTTATTAACATGTTAAACTTAAAGTATCAAATCTTATCATTATGTGTCACTTGTTTAAAAGCTATAGATAAATTTAAATCACTAAAAGTCGAGTTATGGGAATATATACAATATAATAAAGATGTATTTTTTTTCACGGTTATTTGACTTTTTCCGGTCGCCTCTGGGACAATTATTACTATGTCGCGAATAAATAGATTGGAAATTATTTGTGATAACAACTCGTCATTTGCGCGATCGCTCTTTCTTTTTCTCGAAAATATTTTTATCTTTATCATCCTCGCGCATTAAAACAACAAGTTTATTCTCGATCGTTCATGATAACATAAACAAAACATTAAGTGCATAGAGTTTTGTCGTACATATGTAATATATTAATAATTAAGACAAAACGAGATAATATTAGTATACTTTTCCTTCGTTTTCGTGAATCGAGATCTTTCTCGAACAGAGACTTTCAACTGTTGCTCTGTTTGAAAATTGTGTGAGCTTTCATCATTACTACGTATTCGTGCAAGCAACATGAATGTACAGGGATAGTGAAATAGTGAAATATAACAATAATCGACAAGAGTATTCTTTCTTTCTTTCAAATCAAGAATAATTAGTCTCTCGAGAGCAAACTACACTTTTTTGCAATAGCGATTAATAAATTCATGTTTCCTAATTGCGCAGTGTCGGAGCACATTAATAAAAGTTAAAGAAACGTAAAGTTAAAGACGTTACGTCTCATACTTTGACATGTCATCAATAGCATTTTTAAGTATCCTTTAAGAAATTTTGAAACATTACAATTTAATTTTAAATCAATGAAATCCAATCAGTTACGAGGCAGAATATCGAAAACGAAATTTCGTAAAATCCGTTTTGAATTACATTCTATCTCGTAAAAAAAAAGTTTCATTCGGAAGACAAAGGAAGGACGGGAAAATTTCAAAAAACCAAATATTTCTCGAACGGAATTGTATATTACATCATTCAACGTGTCATCCGTAGTTCAGAAAATTACTTATATAGTCCGCTTATATTAAAATTATGCACGAGTTTTATTCGTTTTTTGCTCTCTTTGTATTTATTTACATATATTGGAAAAGAAAGAACGATGGCCAAGCAAACGCGATGACCGGTTGTTAGTACAATTTCCGATCGATTTGTCAGTCGCAAGATCGTAATAACTGTACAGAACTTTTATTTCTTACGTCTAACAATGCGTAATATAACGAGGCGACGATACATGGCTATCGTTTCGTACGGAAGATATTTTCACATTTGCACAATATGTATCGCACCGCCTATGTCGGATGTATCGGTAATTCCCTCTCAAAAGAGTGCAATGACTCTTCACTTTTAAGAGACAAATAAGCTTTCCGCCTTGATCGTGACGGATTTTTTTTTGTTTCGGAACTGGAGGTTAAATTCGTTCTTTGGCAGTGACTTACGATTTACTTGCCTCGTGAGGCTTCGTGAAGGAACCAGAATTTTGTCTATTTTGAGGCTGTTGCTTATTGAGATCTCGTTGGTCGCTCGACGATGCGGAATTATTTCGTCGTCGAGGATGACATAGCCTACTAGAGCCATAAGAACCAGCCCTATTTCGAAACTGCGATGAACTTGTAAAGTCTAAACATGATTTTTGCATGTAGCTATCAGATTTCGTTTCATTTGGCAGTGTGATGGTGCTACAATCGTCTAATAGCACGCCCGCCAGAGAATCTTCTCTAGCGCTTTCGGAAACACTTCTGTGACGTAATCTGGCAGCTTGGAGCATTTCATGTATTCGGGGCTATAAGAAACAACACATACATATATGATGTAAAACTGTAAACCTACTATTAATGCTTTAAATGCTTAAAACAATTAATTAGTACATGAATAAATAAATAAGAATGCTTGTCTACGATAATACTCACTTTTACTACTCTGAAGTCTTCGATACTTTTGAATTTTGACAGATATTCTTCCAATTTAGAATCTATATGAAGCTGATCAGAATTCTTATAATACTTTAAAAATGCCCAGAATTTTTCCAATCCATACAGTTGTCCTGTTAAACAATCAATTAATTTGTTAATATTAGTAATATTATTTATTATGACAGTTTAATATGTATATAAATATGTACAGAATATGTGTATTAATCACTGAACTCTATACATACTGCAACGTGCCTTCCTATATAAGCCTGGTGTAAATGTGCGGGCTGACAAAAAGGGCGTGACCTTTTGTCTCTTTTCTCCTTAGGCTCTTGAAAGCCTCCATTTTTGATAGTATAATCACCTCTAAAAGTTTGGTTGATACCAATGGTGTATGTATATATATATATATATATATATAGTCGACACTACTGCCACCATAAACTTTTGACGGTGATTATACCACTAAAAAAGAAGGCCTACAACAGAAAGAGACAAAAGGTCACAAAATGCCCTCTTTGTCATTCCGCATCTTGAGTAACACGGCGCTTTCCATATGTATAGAGTTCAATGATATGAATATATGTATATCTTGATGTATGTCAAGTTATTTTCTTGAATGGAGATTGTAAAACTGTTAATATTAAACTCCACTCATAGGACAAGAATGTCCTAATGAAGTTAATTAGTTAAACACTTCCATTTGCTTTTGCACAAATTTACCGTTTAACCACAATCATACGATTTCATAGCTAAACAACCTATTTTGTGCTAATATAATAGAAATATGAATATAAAATTTGAATAAAATCTTGACTTACCACTTTCGTAATCATATATCGTTTCTATTTCAAAATCTTTATACAATATATGCCTAAACTTCTTTTCCAAGCCATAACTATAAAATCTGAAAAGACATTCCACTCCATATCGGTATCCTTCGCAGGCATCTTCTTTGGCTATAGTTCTGAATTCTTCGTACATAGTACGATTAAAATTTTCTCGCAAGAAGAACGACCAGAAACGGAAAAGGGTATTCATTTCTTGTGATTGTCCAATACCTAATCGCTTGCGCTCTGGAAAAAAAAAAGGTACATGAATAAAAAGTTTTATTAGATATTAACATGTGATTTATTTAAATGGCAATCAGATAAATTGTATTTCCGCATACGGATTTTCTCAGTCGGGAAAAGAAGACAAGACAGATTCATCATCTTATATACAATTGTTTAAATTAGTAACTTGGAAAAAATCTTGTAATCACTGATACCTTTCAGGCAGCGTGAACGATACTTGTGATACGCTTGTTGAGTAAATCCGTTATCTTTCAACAAAGCATGACTTGGATGCTCGCTAATAGTGGGAACACTTCCATAACTGCTTGCAAGATAGCCTTCATTAGGACTTGTACCTGCGCTACTCCTGAAATAATAAATAAAAGAACATACCTAAAGGATATATGCAAAATAAAATCGGATTTTCATTTTTCTATTAATTATTTTCATTCAGATACAAATCTTTCTACAAAGTAATCTCTTCAGTCGGGAAAAGAAGACATATAAATATAGATATTCCATCATATTATACACATACACATACAAATCACACATATTCCTTATCTATACAAAAATAAAAATATCAATAATGAGAAAACTAATGCGAATAAATAATATCAATTAATGGGATATCCAATCAAAATAGTTAAAAAACAGAAATCTTGTAGAGATATTTACAATGACGTCTATATATTTATTTTAATAAACTATATTTTTAATTTACAAGCTACATTAATTTTCATTGGAAGCTAACAATGATACAATTATCTTTCTGGAAAACTTTAGATCTGGTTACATGTCCCAACATTTTCTATATATTAGCGTTTGTTTATTCCAAGGATTCACAAAAAGTATGTCAAACATTTTATTCGTATTTTGATTTGCGTTGTAGATTTTCTTCAACAGAGACAAATATACTATATACGTACCCCACAGAATGTGTTCGTGGACGGTGCTCTCGAACATCCATAATCCAACCAACATGATGCTCCACTGGAGGATTATTGCTGTGACGAGTTTTTCGTTTTCGTGGTGTTGTCGGATCAACAGACGGTTCTTTTACAACGGCAAAGAAACGAGATGCGGCTCTTCGTCCTTCTCTCGTCTGTGATTTCTCATTCCAACGACTCTTTTCCGGCCTATGATCTTTCTTCTCCAGACTTATACTTGGAAGCTATCAAACGCAAATAGTAATATAGTTTTACAATATTTGTTACAGAGAGGTGAACTCTTTTGTTCTTTTACAAAACTTGAAATACCTGTAACGATAAAGTGGACTGTAGAATCTCTAAATCTTCTATACAGGAAGGAGGTGGCGGTGGAACTTCCGGATTCGCTTTTCTCGGAACTTTCGGTGCCATTTTTTCGAAATCTTCTTGACTAATCATATTAATTGTCTTGTAGCTTCCAATGGACGAAGATGAGCCATACTGTGTGTAACATCAATTTGATAATCATCCCAGATTCATTTGTTTTTTGTTGTACTTTAAATTGGGGAGAGAGAGAATAAAATTATAATCTTACCCTTTGATTATTTTGCCTCCACAACTCATCCTCGTAATAATATAATCCATCATTAATAAGTTGCTCCAAGTCTTGAGTCATTTTCACTCTTGTAATCCAATCTCCTGTTCTATCATGTCCTTCATGCTTTGGGATTCTAGATGATGGAGGATGGGTTTGCGTAAAGATAAGTATTTTATTAATATCTCTATCTGATAATTCGTAATCCTCATCATCTTCGGACCTGTATTCAAAATATAGATATAAGTACATAAGATATCAGTAGAAAAAATCCATAAACAATATAAAAAGATTTTGAATAATATCTTTAACTATCCTCTTCTTCACAATACAGTAATAAAACTATAAATAATTCGTAGAGAATTGAAAGATATTTCTATACTTTCTAAATTTTGCAAATTCATAACTTTGTGTGTGTGTTATAATGTACAAAAATATAATTATTTTTTTTGAAGTTAGAATAAAGTACAAAGTATCTTTTTTTTGGCAATATTTGAAAAGATCATATATTGAAAATATTATATATTGGCAATAGTAATCCCAATATTAACTGACCATTCCGAAAAGGCATTATGTCGACCAGTCGGAGGCGGCGAGTCGAGTTCTTCGTCAAATTGAAAATTTAATTCTTCTCGTGTTTTACTTCTGGTGTTCTCAAACTTCTCTTTCTCTTCAGATCTATCTTTATGTGGTTGTTTAACTTTTCTTCTCACCTATGAATAATTTTTTTCCATATAATATTCACGCGCTTTTTAAAACACAAATATTCTAAATATAGCTCAACAATATGATACAATAAATATAATGAAGACGATTACCTCTTTCCAAGTATTGTCGCTTGACATATCTGATTCTCTGTTTATTTGTTCTTCTGGCAAGCTGTCTGAAGTGGAAGACTCTACCATGGATGGTAATATATTGTTTATCTTGATAGGAGAATTATTATTAAGAGAAAAGAGAGGCATCGTTATACTATTCGTCAATTTATAATTTTCTTCTTTTATTTTTTCAAATTGAATTTCGTTTTTTGTTTCGTTGCTTTCATTCATAGCAGTAAATCCATTAGTTCTTTCCGTCAAGTCCATTGGTACAAATTCTGGTACATCAGGATTTAAAATTTCGTTTGCCATTGGAACGGAATAGAAGGATTCAAAAACACGAGGAACTGCGGGAATGGGTATCGCGAGTAAAGGCTTTGCAGCAGGGCAAAACGTAGTTTTAGAGGTAGGATGTATTACTTCGTTTTGAGATGAGATCGATTGTTGTGAATGATTCGAGATGACCACATTGCTGGCTATGTCTGAGATAGGCCATTTTAAAGGATCTAACTTTGTCCTAATCTGAAAAGTAAAAATTTAGATTATTCGGAAAGGGTCCATTATGCGCAGGTAGAAAAGTACATCATGTTAATTGTTAATATATGTTGATAATTGTAAATATATGTAAAGAGGTCTACTGTCAAACCCCATTCATTGAAATAAGTTCTAATGGTGTTAGCGAATCCTCTTTTATTTGCTCTAGCACAAATTTTGTATCCAACATACATAGGTATGTTAGAATTTTTTTTTAATATGTGCCATACGTACATTCAATTTAGTTAAATATATGATATTTCATTAATTTGAAATACATTTGTGATACCTTGTATCCATCTTCAAATTCTATCACCTCCAATTTGTCAGACTCCATAACTGCGGTTATCACCAAATCTATATCCATTGTTAAATTTTGTACACGTTGAAAAGATGCGATCAAAGTGAGAGGCAAAAATCCTTGAGCATTCATTTTACGACGAAGAAAGAAGTCTTTTACAAGATTTTCTTCACAGAAATAATACTCTCTGTAAGAAAAAAGTGAGATTATTACGAGAAATTACATATAAATAAATTGTATCAATGAAATAAATGCAAGAAACTTACATTTGTTGTCGTATACACTCTTTTAACGTAGGGATATCCATATAATTTGCATTAAAATAGCAAGTCCCCATATAAGGTATCATATACCCAGTATCTGCATGTTCGTATTTATGTGTCTAAAAAAAAAAAAAAGAAGAAAAGAAACATGATATCTCGTCGTAAAAAACATGCAATACGAATATATACGAACTTTGAAAATTTTCAGTTCTACTGTCATTTATAATCAGAATATTGTCAGATAGATTCCCACTTATATTGTAACATCATTATTAATATAGGGATGATAATTTAGTGTAATAATTAAGATTTTAATATTAGCGAGTAGTTACCTGTATATAGTCCGTTGTAGCATAATTTGTATATTCGTGATCGTGTCGATGTCTAAAACCAGCACGGCCACGCCCGCCCCGTCCTCTACCTCTATAACTTCTTCCAGCGCGTCCTCGTTGATTATATCCTGACGATCTATCGTAATCTCGTTCGCGCCAGTGCTCGCCATCATTTGCTATTTTTATTACATTACAATTATTATTCATATCAATTTGTTTTCGTTATAACAATTATGCAATGCATTAGTGATTATTATATATGATATTATTATGTTGAGAATATAATTTTACCTTCGCCATTTTTTTCTCTGTGATTCTGAAATCTCGGCGATCGCATAGTACCACGGTTTTGTAGGTCTATCTCTAGTGGGACCCATTTTTGTTTATTCGCTATAAAAACGCGATATCAGAATAAAATGGCGTTGGATATCAAGAATAATATTTTTTGTTTAGACTTCCAATTGGAGCAATCACTTTGATGAAAACAAATTTATTACAAGAAGTTTGTTAAATTGTTATTTTGTCAAAATAAGTAAACTGCACGCAGATCGATCTCCTTACCTTTTTTTTTCTTTTCGCCATTATCTGTATGCTCATCGCTATCATCTTGACAATGGTTCTGCTCTTTATTTTCTTTACTTCTGCTTTCTATAGTGTTATCTGTTTTAAACGTACTTGGTTCATCATTGATTACACCATTTTGCTTCAAAGGTGATATGGTTGCTTTTTTCTAAATCACATAAAAAATTATTGTATAAATTTTCATTAAAAAATGCAGTGTAATTGCAAATTAAGAAAAAGAGATATCGCTCAAAGAGCGCACGTGTAGAAATGCTGAACATTTCTCAGACGTAAGAAAATTTCTCCTCTGAAATGACATAACATTCCATTTCTCTAGCAAAAATTCTACACTCACAGATTTATTAATAAATCACGCAAGCTCTAGGTTTTGCATATGTCTACTATATGTCCAAATAAATATTATTTAAAATAGTTAGACAAAGTGGAATCTTAATATACTGTTCTAATGATTATTATTAAAATAGCAAGTTTTTACTAAAAATAAAAATTAATTGCACTTATATATAATTAAAGATAACTGTTTCCAACAAAACATCGATGATGATACGTACCTCTACTTGCGTTCCTAAGGTGGGCCAGTCTCCAATGTTCGTAAAATCACTTGCCTATTGCGTCAAATGTTATATTATTAAGACAGTATAATACATTAGTGACGTAAGTAAACAGGTACCTCGTTATGCAATTTTTTTTACATTTTTTACACTTTTAATATTTTTAAATAAGAAATATACACATGCAAATATATTATTTTACGCGCCATAAATGATATATCTAACTTAATATATCATAGAAATTAAGAGAAATTATATCTTTTAAGCTTATTATTTATTATACAGTCATGCACGTAAGCTATAAAATTTATTATCTTCCGAGATAAATATGTACATGTTTGCGCACAGATGAAAGAAGGTAAAAATATTACATACGTTTTGATTAACTCTTCTTCTATCTCTAGGAGCTCTGATAATTGTGGGCTGAGCACTCTCTTCGACACCATTTTCTGCACAGCAAAAAAATCATATTTACATATAAAACTTATTCTATGCGCAAAAGTTTTGCATCCTTAAATTTTGTCACAATTTAATAAAAAGAAGAAAAGAAAACGATACAACAGTTATACGAAGCAGTTGTATGTATTTGTTTATTATATAAGCATAAAGATATGAAATACAAAAGATATTAATAACACAAATTCTCAATGACGTATATATATATATATATATATACACGGGCGTGTTTCTTGAATATTTTTATCTGTAATATCCGATATCAAATCGGAGAAGAAAAATGGAGCAGATATAGCCAAACACAAAAATCTAATGTCAAAATTTATTTTTAATTTTATTGCTTATTAAATGAGTTAATTATCTCCCTCTTTGTTTTTATTTCGTAAAAAAATTATTCTTATCATTCTTATAACTATCATTGCAACGGGTGAAATATTAATTTAAAGAGACAAGTTTCGAGAAAACCATGTAATGCTATTCCTCATCATAATCAAAATGTGATAGAGGGTGATTAAATTAAAGAAATTAATATAGCATGCGAGAGAGTAATTTAAAAGCCATATAAACTCTCTTTGAAACTGTACATATATCATTACCATCATGTCATCCAAAAAGCTTATTGTCACGTAAATAACATCGAATTTGCATTTCGTACATTAACATAATATGTGCGTTTAAACATATCCATAACAAATTATGATTAGACATCATTTTATTCCTTTCGCCTTGCACTTTCTTATCTACTCATGAACTTTTACAGTCGATGTGCCCACAAATCGACAATACTATGTACCAACGCGCCTTCGATCTTCGCGTAACATCGTTAAAATTAGATGTTGGTACTCGCATCCATGGGACGAGAGACTCATTTGATCCGATGAGTCGTAGATTAAGGGGTTTAATTAATAAATACGTAACTTTTATATTCATTTGTTGCGTTAAACTTTTATACATTTTCACTTGTGTTTAATTCAGATATACATATATACGGACACGTCTGTATATGTTTACAAGAAACTATGAAGATTGTGAACGATGAACAACAAAATATTGATTATAATTGCGCAATTATTGCGTCAGAATATATAGTCCAATAAAGAGATCCTGCAACGAAATAACTAGCCAGCAAATTCTTATTGAAACTGTCGCGCAAGAAATTCTCCGCGACGAATACCGTGAAGAGGAAAGAAATATAGAATTCGTGGCTCGTGACGATGAGAAAACTGGAACGTTTCTAACAATAGACAAAAATAAGATTATGCGGGAAACAAAAGAACACACTAAATTCATATACTACAATAATTCTAGATTCAATATTCTAGAAAAACATAGAAATTGGATAAATTACAATGATAATCCCACGAACATTGTAGTATGTAATTAAACACGTAAATTCTTGTATATATTATAGTTTTGCATATATTTATTATTTTATCATGTTAATTATCTTCTGTTTGTTATAAAAAAAAGAAAAGAATGAATTAGACATTAAAGACATGGGATTTTTTGTTATATTTGACATTTGAATCTTTTGTTATATTTGTAGCTCTTATCGTATAATAATATATCGTTTGAGTTTTACCATTGTCTTTATTAATCAATAATATTCATACATCAAATTTTGGAATAATCAATAAAAATTTGCCTCCTCAATTTGATCAAAAAGCAAGGAATTGTAGGATCGAAATGGCCGAGTGAGACGTGATCAGATTTCGTGATTTCTGTTTGAATCGAATTATTTAATCCTGTCTCGATGCTGAGTAACTTCGGAGAACGTTAAAGCCAGAATGTAATCATGGAAAATTGCATATAATTATTGATGATCGTAGACGTCTAAAACGATAAACAACGATCCAAACGTGAATTGAACATTTTCTTTCAAAATATACGCAAAATAAAACTCTCTTTTCAATAAACGCATTAATAATTCATTATCTCTTCATTCTGATATATTTGTGATTGCATGCTAGAAGCCGTGCGTGATACATTTTTGTCGATATTTCTCTTCCAGAAATTATATTTATAATATTAGATTAGAATGCGCGATAATATATGTCACGAGCATATATTATAATAACTTCACATAAGTTTATCACGAATGTACCGATTTGAACTGACTGGAAATTATAGGCAAAATTATCGGAACAATAGGTAAGATTTTTAAGTCATACATAAAAGCTGAAATATATTCGTAAAGTTTAATGACTTAGTTGAATCAGAGATAAATATTTTTATGATAGTCGTAATAAGTAAAAATGTTTCGAATAATCTAAAAGCAGTAAATATACAGGGTGTCCCAAAGCACTCTTGACAACGCTCGTGAGCAGGTAGAGAATTGTCAAGGGTGCTTTGGGACATCCTGTATATATACAACCAAAATATATATACGATTGTAAGTTAAGAAATATGAAATGAATAGCTCAAATTATTTAGTCTAATCAAATCGTCGCTATCAACTTGATCCTTGGCATTATCGCTGTTTTACACATTATGAACTAATGTGCATAATGAAAAAGATAGTGCCGACTTACGTTTAAAAGTGTCGTTTCTACTTTGGTTTATCTTCATTGCGGCCTGTTATCGTCACGTTAGATTCATTCAATCCGATTCGTTTCGTGCGCTAAGTTGCAGTTTTATTAAATTGTGATTTTAATTGCATCAGCATTAAGAATACCGGTAGTATCAAACGCAGAAAAAAATATAACTCCATACACTTTGATGCAACAGAGAATGCAGTCACAGCTGCAGATTGCGAATTGAGAATAGACGTTATGCAATATCAAAACCCGATAAATAAAAAAAGAAATCTGTTTCACAAATTTTAATTTTCACCGTGAATAATTAATTGAATGTGTTAAATATATAATGTATAATGATTAAAGGTTCTTTATTATTCGATGAAGCCAAATGTAACGAAGCCACGTAATCGTCACGTTATTCCAATTTCGTCGAAATATAAATTCGCGAATTCTTTGAACACGATTTCGATATTGCATCTTGCAATAATCAACGCGACAAAACGCAATGTATTGCGATCGATGCTGAAGTCGTGTCGACAAGCCACTGAGAGCAGGTTGATTTAAGAAGCGAATCAACGATTACGACGAACGACGATGGAGCTCTGCTCGCAATGGTCGAGAACGTGAATACTTTCGACTAATGTTGGAACGAATAAGTACAAAAAGATATATATGTCGTGTATATCATGTGTATATAAAAATAAAAAAAAATAAAAAAATAAAAAAAAAACGAGGAATGATACATGAAAGAATTATATAACATTTTTTCGATATTCTTCTTGCGAGAATTTCATCATCATTCGATTGTAATTTATTCATGTGACATATCAAAGTGTAATGTGTATCATTCTTTCAGTGCAATATTTCTCAAATATCTTTCTTTCTTTTTTTTTTTTTTTAATATCGATGTCTTATAAAAGAGCAAGTTTCGGTAAAATACATGTATAATCTTATTTTATTTCTTTCTTTATTACTCTAGTCGATTCAATTTTTTTTTTAGCTCCGAACGGGATATATTATTAAAGCGGAATATTTGTCGCCGCATAAATAAAGATTACAATGATGAAACTAAATTGGGAAACACTATCCTCTACCAACCCGAAACGCCTGAGTATATTGATCGAAAGATATTTGTCGGACGAACATTCTAGCTCCTATTCGACCGTCCCGGAACAGGTTTCCATTCTCGCGACTCTCACTTTCTGCGACATATTTTAACGTGGATCGAACGCAGGGCTATTGGTCAATTGCAATAAGACCAAGGCCCACATTCTCACATTACACATTACACTGAATGTGTCTGCTCGCTAAAATCTCATCTCATTAATCGCATGTTGTAATTCTCATATTAGATACATATAAGTTTAAAAAAAGCAACACTAAATACAGATCAATGGACGGATTGAAGATGCTGGATAAAAATGAATTATAAAAGCTACCTTATTAATTTTAAAAAGGTACCTTAATCGTAATATATAATATTTTTGTTCACACATTTGTGCGCAGAATTCAATCGAGCATATCCGTTGACAAGAATATAAAAGCATAGAGTTTATTTATATGAAAAAAAAAAGTATATAAAAAGCATTAAAAAAATATAAGAATAAAAATGCAGATTTAAATCGTTTAAAGCCTCCAGTTTTAGAAATCGATTCGATCTTTCCAACAAGAGGAACACATGAAGAACGTCTGAGAACACATGCAGACTGTTAATTAAGACGCGTCATGACCGGACGCTTCTCTATCTCTAGTAACTGCATTGTGTATCGCAACTTACTATTACGACGTTGAAAGAATGTCAATGTCGTTGCCCTCGTAATATTCTCCCACGCTCGTCCCATGTGATCGTAATAAATGGATCAATTGCAATGGTCCCGCCCGCAGATTCGACGAATTTCGCATTGGAAATCCGCGTGCGGCAAGCAGACGTCGACACGTGTGTCGTTACATTATCGCTGTTTTTAATAACAATGCTGATCAAACAGTTTGTTACACGTTAATATTTTCGCGCATATAAATACATATTATATATATATATATCAAAAAAAATTATGAAATTGTGTAAAAAAAAGTTAGACTGGGATGTCTCGTAAAAAATATCCTTTTATAGAAAGATTTCTCTTTTTTTTTCCTTCTTACCGATATCAAATTTATTAATATCTCGAATTTGATTATGTACTTCAGAAAATCAGATATCTTGAAATATCACATCGGAAATTCTATAGGAAATATTTTTATAGAAAAAAATAAGTCCTTGCTTAAAAATAATCTTTTTCCCATAATTTCGCCAGGCTAGAAAAACTTGTTACATTAAAAAGTTTAACAAAATAAAAGTTTTACCAAATTGCAGAAAAAGCAAATAATTCCTCGTGATAAAAAAAACTTATTGATTTGTCCCGCGAAAAGCAAATCGAATCTTTCAATATGCAAATAAATTGACGAAAGTAACACATCAATCGCCCTATGCCAACATGGACATTCTTCTGGTGCCACGTATATCTGAAACGTGTTGGCAATGTAAAGATAAGACTGCCAGTCAGACGCTTACCATTTTTATTATCACGATTATCGAACATCCAAAATACCGGCGTATGCCACATGAAATTAAACTATTTGATTTCAATGTCCAAAAGTCTCTACACTTTGACATTTGTATATTAGAGCAAAAAAATTATTTAAAAATTTCTTATTAAATTAATTAATAAGTAATACAACATAAAAATTTATATATGATAAGATGAGATTCTATAGGTAGATAAGTAGATAAATGTAGGTATTTCGAGTGCAAAATTTTCTCCCGAGTATGAAGATGATAGCAATTGATGAAATTCAATAGTATGTAAAAATGATATGGCGGTGGTATATTTTATCTGTAGATTTCTTTTATCTCAATTTTTCAACGCTCGCACATTCACGCGTTTCTATTTTCACGCCTCACGTTTCGTAATATATATATCACCCGATACAGCCCTCCCGTACAGTTTGCCTCGTAATCTCTTATGACATATTTTTAAGCATTCACACACACTCCGAGCTAAAAATGTGATGACAAATAGAAAATAAATTAAAATATTGTTTTTGACTTTGTCTGTTACTGGAAGTGTTCTAATTTGAAATAGCCTTTGTTTTAAACATTATAGAGTAGATTTACATCAGCGATTTTTTAATATTTATGCGATTACAAACATTGAAAAACATTTTTGACAATAATTAGGTCCGATGCAAATAGACAATCGTACTTTCTCCTTCCTCGAATTTAATATGGAGTTTATGTTAAGAAATCTTTAAGGATTAATTATCACAAGATATTTAATGTTAAAAATTATAATGTTATTGGAGAAAATAATATTTAATTTGAAATTTTTATAAAGAAAAGACGTAGAAAGAAATTTACATCGTGTATATGATACAATCTATTTATACATAATATCCCGTATATTTCAACACCGCTTCTCGAATTTCAACGAAACTGCTCAAGCACGAAGCAACATACTAATAAAATAAGAAATTTTCGCGCGCGCATGTGTACGCGACAAATTAATAATTATGTAATCGTTATCAGAAACAGTCTCGCAGGGGGGAGGAGCTAATAGCTATCGGAAAGTTTGGAGAAAGACGATAAGAAGTTATTTGATAATCAAGACGAAATACATGGCCGCGTATAAAATTCATAAAGCTTTACTCTTGTCGATAGCGTAATTAATATTCCTGCATACGATCCAGCTTTAACGACATAAAATACTTGAACATAAATATTTTGTATAACAAGCATCGCGCAAAATTAATCAATTTTATGTTTGTCAATTCAAGTATAAAGTTTATACAACTCAAATTCAAAATTTACATGTTATTCGTTAAACATTAAAAGCAATGAATACTGTATTTTTCGAAAATGTTTGAAAGAAAATTTAAGCCTACGGTTATAATAAATTACACTTTTTTATGAATAGTTTGTACAATCTTTTGTTCAATTTTTACTTTTACAGATTTTTAAAAGAATCTATACTAATAGCAAGAATAGAACCAAAAACCGGAGAGGTTCTTTTCTATCCCGAAAAGAATGGTGTTGACCGTATTATTTCGCATAAAGAAATTTCTACCTGAAGAAAATTTAATGTTCCGTTTCGTATAGCATTAGTATAAAAAATACAATGCTGTGCTCATTTTTCTTGCCGTTAGCTAACGGATATTCAAAAAGTGTACTCTCTCGAATATCGAATATTCTCGACTATTTTATTAATAATTTCGTATCAATTCATTAATGATTTTGGATAATAGATAAATGCAATGTCTGTATTATTATCTATTATTAGTTTAGAATAGCTATGTACATAATTTTGGGTAATTGGGTATTACGCACGATATAAGAGATTAAGAACTTTAAATTTACAACATATATCTGGCTAAAAACGCGTGTAAGGATTGGATATTTTAAATACAGAGATTATCATCCTACTATCATACCATCCTATAATATTGACCGTATTATTGGAAATGAAAGAATCCTATAAAAAGCGATAAAACAAATTCTTGTAAATAATTAAAAAGAAAAAAAGGGAAAGTGTGAAACATGTAAGATTGGCTTTAACAGATAAGGCAATGAATTTAAAAAAAAAAAA